AGAAAGATTTTCTTGAAGATGGGTGATGGGTTTTTGGAAAAGAAAATGGAGGGTTTGATGAATCAGAGAAATTGAATTGACTAGCTTTTGCTGCTGGTGGAGGTGAAAACGGCCTGAAAAGGGCGGCCATTAGAGAGAGAGATACAAAGTCATAGGGAAGTGGAAAGTCGTTATTAATAGAACAGCTGAAGGAGATACCGACAGAATGGAATCTGAAACTCCATACCAAGAGCATCTATAATGGGCTCTCTAAATCATTTCCTTACACAAATTTTAAAAAAGAATCGTAAAAATGTAAGTCCAACCACGCTCCCTATTCACCTCCTAAAATAGGGAATCCTCTAGGAGCTCCTAAATCTAAGGAGAAAGAAATGACTCCTAGTGACTCTCTATAATTTAATGCTGCTTTATTTAATGAGTATTTCAAATATTTATTTAATACTAACTATTTTTTACTTTATTTTTTAATAGAGATGAGCCAATCAAAAAAGAGTTATAACATTTATAACTCTCCAAATTAGGGAGTATGGTTTGAGTTGAAATTTTTTAAAGAGCTCCTAAAAGAGTTTTCTTATATTCTTAGCCAAATTTTAGCTAAGAAATAAAGAACATCATTGTGGATGCTCTAACAAAATTATTCTTTTGGCTAAATTGCAGCAATGGTCCTTGGACTATACATCCACTCTTAGAAATCGTCTTTTCCGTCCTTCACATTGCTAAATTGCAGCAATGGTCCCTTTAACAAAATTATATTCTTACCCAACTTTACTTTTTATCCTTCACATTGTTAAATTGTTACCGTAGTACTTTAATTATACCTCCACTCTCAGAAATCGTCTTTTCTGTCATCTCAATCAAATTTTCCATAAAAAAATAAGGGCATATTTGTCTTTTCATTAATTTTAAATTGATTAAAATGTTTATTTATAAATAAAATAAAATATATAAAAAAAACTCTCTCTCTCTTCCCCCAATTTCTTCTCCTCCCATTCCCCATGACCATCACCCCGTCACATGAACCCAGAACCCAGCGCCCCCCACCCCACCGCAACAGTCTACCACCTAGTGATGTACATGTAGAATAAAATGGTAAACCCATGTTGGCAGAGAGCGTTTGTTGCTTGCTCCCCAAGGAGCTTAACCACTTGTGCGAAAGGTAGGCAGACAACAACATTGGACAATAATAAATATCAACAGGTAAGACCAGACACTAAGCAAGACCAAGCCCACAAGAAGTTCATTGCATGAAATTTAAATTCAGCCAATCTAATCTGTGCCAGAGGGGGAAAGAAGAAATTGGAGAGAGAGAGAGAGACAGAGGGGGAAAGAAGAAATTGGAAAGAGAGAGAGAGAGAGAGAGGGGAAAGAAGAAATGGGTGTGGGGGGGGAGGGGAAGAAGAAATCTGGTGGAGGTGGGGGAAAGAAGAAATTGGAGAGAGAGAGAGAGAGAGAGGGAAAGAAGAAATGGGTGTGGGGGGAAGAAGAAATCGGGTGGAGGTGGGGGAACGAAGAAATTGGAGAGAGAGAGAGATATGAGATTAATTTTTTAAAATTTTGTGTGAAACGACATTTTTGCCTATGTCATGTCATCAAATTAAACGGAAAAGTTGATTGAGATGACTGAAAGGACGGTTTTCAAAACTGGAGGCATAATTAAAGCACCACGGTAACAAGTTAGCAATGTAACGGACGAAAAGTAAAGTTGGGGCTTAGTCCAAGGACCATTGTTACAATTTTGCCTATTATTTTTTATTTTTTATTTTTTTTTAGAAAGCAAAATTATTCAAAGGACACATCATATTTTCATGGACCTTGGCTAGGGCAAAACATAGTCATGTCATTGGTCCAATATTTTTTTTTTAGGTCAATTAGAACTTTTAGAATCTGAATGAATTAAACAAATTTTCTTCATTTCATTGGTATGCTTACTAATTCGAAATTGGGAGAGGAGGAATTGAATTGAGAAGGAGTCAGGATCCGAATTTACATTGAAGATGGTTAATAAATTATTTAGAATCGGAGTAGAAATGATATTGATTCCCTATAAATTGTTACTAAATTCCCTTGAATCGGAATTGAAATTAGTTTGGTTACTAAAATACATTCTAAATAAATAAATTTATATGCAATTTTTTATTGGGTTAATTGTGTGATGATATAATGGGTAAATAAGATGAATACCTGATGGGTTAGTTCTTTAGAAATTAGTATACCACTACTCACCCTAGAACTCCTGATTTTGTGTGGGCCTCACTTGCATTTTCATTTATTTATGTGAAGTAAACACAAGAGTAATACGTAAGCGGAATCTAACTCCTTATTTTGATTCTGATTACGAATTAGTAAACATGTCATACACCAGACCCTTTAGCGTATACCAATTGTGTTTTTTAAATAAATTTTTTATTATATAGTTTTTCATTTTAAAATTTGTGGGTGTCTTTTTGTTGAGAAGGCTTAGTTGGGCTGGATAGTTGGGAAGATGTGAATATGGCCTTCAAGTGCTCATTTCTAAGTTATCAAGAACTAGGCCCAAAGTATCCCGAAGGAGAAGCAAGTCCTAGGGAATACTCTATTCTTCTTCCATCGAATGTTTTGATGGTTTTATGTCTGAAATAAGTGGTATTAAATGTCTTCGGCTGCTCTTTGGAAATCTTTGAATGTCTTTGACAGCTGCACTGATATTACGTATAGGCTTGGCAAGAGAGAATTGTGAGTGGGAGCTAAGAATCCATAAGTTTAGCAAGATAGAGTGATTTGCTTGAGAAATAGATGACTATGGCAGTGTATTGTTGAATGATTGGGTGGTGTTTTGGGAAAGGTTGATGATTGAGTCTGGTACTTCTTAACAGCTAGAGGATGGGCTTGAAGTGGTATTTTGAAGAAGAAAAAAAAACGAGCATGGAAAGGTTAAGGCTTGGATTTTGGGGGTCTCTAGTAGCTAGTGGTTGAGCTTGCCTCCGCTTGTTCATGGGTTTGGAATGGCTAAGGCTTGGGTTTTTGAGGAGTTGGAGGATGAGCTTGCCTCTGCTTGGTTTTGTGTGTGTGGGTTTGGAATGGCTTAGGCTTGTTTCTGGGTTTGGCTAAGGCTTGTTTCTGCGTGTTTTCCAATGGAGGGTGAGCTTCTGCCTTGGTTTGTTGTGTTTTTCTGCGTTCCTTCTTCCTCTATTTATAAGGTGGGATGCATAGGCTTTTGGTTATTGTGAGAGTGTACATTAATGTACAATAATTCACAATAATGGATCCGTGAGTGTGCAGTAATGATTGTGTGTACAGTGATGAACAGTAATGAATAGTAATGGGTTTTAATATGATTGGTAGTTGTGGTTTAGTGTTGGAGAAGAGGCTGGGAGTTCTCTCTCTCTGCAAGGTAAGTGAGCATGAGTTTTGGTACTCCCAAGTAGCCCCAAAGCTTTCATTGTCTGATCCTTTAACATGCCTTATGAACACTAATAACCGTCCATACCACAACCCACTCAACAAGCTCTGGGTATGTATGTGGCTTGAACCCACTTAAATGTGTCAGATGGTTTAGCATAGGAAAATGTGTTAGCTTGCACATATTTAATATTTGCCTGGCATGGAATGTACACTATTCGAACTTTTATAAAAATACTTTATATTTATTTACAGAATTAATTCCCAAAAAACAGCTTGGATTAACGCATGACATTATATGTTATATTGGACTTTAAATATCATTGGGCTTCTCGTGACAATATGGGCCTCAACATTAGTCCCCTTGATTATTGAGGCCATGAAAGAGTATTGAAATAGTACGAATAATCAATTTTCAGCCCAAAATAAGTGGTAATGGCATCGTTCGTTTTTTTCTAGTATTGACATCATCATAATGGTCTTTCAGCAGTCTTTAATATGCATCAAGTGTCCATATATTTGCTTTCTTGACCGTAGTCATTTTTTGATTTCTTATATTTTTCTTGGCATGGAGATTAGCATGGTTTTGGCAATATCATTGTGAGGGCATAGTTTTGAGTGAAGTTTTTTTATATAAGAGAGTACGAGTTTTCCTCATACTTATAATTTGCTTGCTTGATTACAATTGAAACAAAATGTAATTGCTTGGTGTTTGGTAATGCATGTTTTACTTGGGTTACTTGCTTTGTTGCTTACAGAGTTGGATTTTGCATGTCATGCTTGTTTGCTCGCAAGAAACCGGAATTGCATGAACTTGATATTGTATGGCGTGGGTTGGCATGGGTTTGGATATGCGTCCAAATGGCTTGAACTTGAATAATTTTGATAGTTCATGATTGTTTGGATTGCTTTCTCGACATGTTACAATTTTCTTGGCATGTGAATTGGGTTTGTAAATCTGCTTGGCACGGTGTAATTGGCTTGTAAGTTTCTTTGAGGCTTTGCATTGCTTTGATTTTCTTGATCAGTGAGCTTGGAGTGTTGGGAACTACTTGGTATTTTGCACATGTTAAGCTTGGGGTATTGCTGGATGAGAATTATTGCGAAGGTAGCGGTGTATACAAGATGTGCATTTTGTACAAGGATCTGAAGAGGTCCTTGGAGTTTATTGTTTATGGCAATTTTCCTGAATTGCAGGGAAGTTGAATCAGTTGGAACTGTTCACAACTTTTTTTCCGAAATTGCAGTTCAGTTTCTGAAAAGTTGGGATTGGATTGAAAAGAGATGAACTACGTCTACGAGACATGGGTCGAGTTGAAATTTTTGAATATTGACAAGAAGAGTTCGAAAAACATCAGATTCATAAATCGAGGGGGTGTGGATCTCGAGGGTGGTTTGGGAATCGAGAGATTCGTAACGGTGAATGGATGTTGGATTTTCCTCGTCCATTTAGGATGGCATTTACATGGCTTAGTTCATCCATATGAGTGGCGGAGCCAGGAATTTATGTGTTGGGGGGCCAATATATAAACCAAACAAGACATTAAAAAATTTCAAATTTTCAACCTTAACAATGTTTGGAAAAATTAAAGGCAAAAAATAATTGTTTATTCAATTAGGTATCAAAATAACACTCGTCGTTCTTTCATATCTCGAAAACCATCTATGATTGAGTCAACGCTAAACTTTTCTGCAATTTCCCTTTCGATGTACATAATCAAAGAGTCAGTGAGAAATTCGTCTTCCATCTTGTTACGGAGCCTAGTTTTTACTATACGCATAGCAGAAAATGATCGCTCTGCAGTTGCTGTAGAAATAGGAAGAGTAAGCACAAGAACAACCACTCTATAAACAAGTGGATATGTCGTTGATCTTCTAGTCGTTACCATCCATTGAGATAGATCAGAAATTGTTGACAAGTTTTTGAACTCTGGAAGTCTAACGACGTCACTCTCAAAATGTTGAAGTTGTCTTCTCAAACCTATCTTCTCATGATCTTCAAAGTCTTGTGGATAGAACTTATCTACCAATTGACAAATATCATCAATCCTAAAAGATTTATTCACTTCACGAGGATCCAAAGCCGACCCCATAATAAGCAGCTCTGTTGTTTGATCACTAAATCTGCTATTTAATTCTTGAAGTTGAGAATCTATTGTAGCATAAAAAATATCTATCATATAATAATGCTTAATCGTAAAATCATCTTGTTGATGGCGAGCTCTACCTCGTCTTGCAACATAACGAGCATTCATATCTAGTATATCTATGTTCCGTGCTTCACAAAAAGAATTCACCTTGGTAAGCAAAGAATCCCATCCATCATCTCTTAATTCTTGGATGAGTGCTTTAGTGGAAGAAACAAGATTCATGGCATTTATGATGTCTTGGGATTGACATTGCAAAGCTTGACAAAGATCATTAGTGATCTCCATAAGTTCTTTCATAAGATGTAAGATAAAGATAAATTCATATGAAGTCATTGCCTCATAAGCTGCATCAGCATCTCCTCGTTGAGAATAAGTAGTTCCGTTATCAATTATATTAATTAGAACTATGCATGTTGCACTAAACATATTTACCAAGCTAGTAATTGATTTCAAATGAGAACCCCAACGAGTATCACCAGCACGTTGTAAGGTGCCAATTTGGTTCATTCCTTTCCCAGTCTCGAGCTCATCAATTGCAATCATGTGCTCAATTTCAGCAGCTTGAGCATTTTTCAGTTCATCATTACGCTTGCATGAAGCACCAACAATATTGACAATAGAAGTCAATTTAGTGAAAAAGTGGTGAACATGAATAACTTCTCTTGATGATGCAATTAATGCCAATTGTAATCGATGTGCTAAACAATGAACATAGTAAGCATATAGGCAATCATTCAAAATCAAAGCTTGTAACCCATTCCATTCACCTCGCATGTTACTTGCACCATCATATCCTTGTCCTCTAATATTTTGAATATTTAGTGAATTATAAGACAATATAGAGTATATACCTTTTTTCAGAGTTAATGCCTCAGTGTCTGACACATGAACAAGCCCAAAAAAGCGCTCCTGAATAAGACCTTCTTTGTCAACAAATCGCAACACTATAGCCATTTGCTCTCTCTTGGATTCATCACGCGCTTCATCAACAATTATACAAAACTTTGATTCCCCAATTTCTTCACAGATTGCTTTCTTCACTTTAGTTGAAAAAACATGTAAAATTTCTTTTTGGATCTGTGGTGATGTGTAAGAGGCATTTTTGGGAGCTTTATCTAAGATAACTCCAGCAACTTTTTCATTATATGCAGCCAATATTTCTAACATTTGAAGAAAATTTCCACGATTGATTGAATTCTTTTTTTCATCATGGCCTCTAAAAGAACATCCTTGGAATGCAAGCCACCTGACTGCTTCAATTGTTGCCTTAAGTCGTAGTCGATTGTCTGCAATTTGTTGGGAAGAATAATTCTCAACGACTTTCTGTATATGCTGGGATTGATTCATCAAATCCAAACATGATATTTCAGCAATCTTATGGGGGGAGTTAGGATCTTTCCCCTCGTGATTTAGAAAAGAACAATTTTTTCCATCTCTAACTTTCTTCCAACTTTGAAATCCCTCAAGAGTGAAAGCATTTTTTCCAGAATGTCCAGATGGTTTGTTAAAAAGATAGCACGGTAGACAAAAAGCTGCATCTTTCACAGGTGAATATTCTAACCACGAAGGAAATAATTTGAACCATGAACTTTGAAAGCTACGCTGATGAGTTACTGATCCAGATTTTGGATACTTGGAAAGTATAGGTTGGTATGGACCGACGTTAATGTAAGCTCGTCGAATTTCGTCACGTTGATTAACAGGATAATTCCATATTTGCGGACGTAGCCCTGGGTCGCGCTCTAAAGTACTAATATCAACTTCATTATCAATAGTCTCAATTCTTGGAGATCCAGAACGATTTTCATATGCTATTGTCTCAATATTATAATCAGGTACAGATGAGGTAACTTCAATTTGTTTTCTTTTGAAAAATCCATCAATTTTAGGTTGTTTCTTCATCTACAAACCAATTACAAATTTTATTAAGGACATGATAAATTATACCACAAACCAAAATAAAAAAATAAAATCATGTTCTATGCATAGAACATATACAAATATATTCTCATAAAAAGTAAATAAACAAAGGAAAAAAAAAATATAACTGTAAAGTTATCTAACCTGGAATTAGAAATTCTGAAGTAGGAGGTTGGAGAGCAAACAACCAAATTCAATTATTTTCTTTTGTTGTGTGCGGCTGCTTCGAACTAAGTTCATGTTGCTTTATATAGGAACAAAAATTAAAATCCCAATCCTTTTTTATTTGGGTAAAAGTCTATTTCCTATTTGATAAAGGAAATTTTTTGAAACTTTATTTGATTGACTGTTTTAACTTTTTTTATTAATATATTGATGGACATGAGATTCTACTTTTTTAAAAACCAAAACTGGCGTGAGGATAGAAACATTCAAAACCTTCAGTCAAGTGGCAAGTGGTTATTATTATATATATATTTAATTGGAAAGAGAAACACATCTTGAGGGGGCCACAAGCAAAATTATCATATTTACTTTCTAAAATCTATAGGAACAGAAGACCACAAATCAAATATTATGAAACTTTTGGGGGGGCCCAGGCCCCTTCAGGCCCTCATATAGCTCCGCCACTGTGAGTAGTGTGATAGTTTGAGTATACAATACAACTAAGAAAGGGTTATCTTATTTCAGTTGGTGTGCAGTGAATTGTAAGCTGCAAAAGGAGAATGATAAGCTATCGAGAATGGTAGTAGGATACTCCAAGGAGATATAGGTAAAGCTGGATGCTCTGGAGAGTTGAAATAAGAGGGTTCGGGAGGACGATGAGAAGATTTTTAAAGATGCCAAGAGAGCGTTGTTTGGGAAGCTGTTCGGGGAACCAAGTGTCGAGACCAATGGCTGGAACTTATAGCATCAGAGGGACAAAATTCGAGGCATGCTGAGGCCAACGTTGAGGCTCAGAGTTCTAAGCCTGTGGTGCTTGAGGTTGAGGCTGAGAGTCCGAAGTCGGCTGAACCCAATGTAGAGTTTGGGCATTCGAAGTCTTTTTGAACTGAAGTCTCTTGGTGGGAGACGAAATTGATGTGGTTGAGTTTGTGTGAGAGTTGCTTTTGGAATTTTGTATTGTTTTTCTATTGTACAAGAATTGAAATGACATGAAGTGTTTGGTTTTGGATTTTCCCCCTTGCTTGGCTTTGGTTTGCTTGATCAGTTAGCTTGGTATGTCCTGAATTAAATTGCTTGGCAAGTTGTAAAATGAATTGATGACGCTTATTGCTTGGCATGATATACATAGATTATGCTTGGATCATTGCATTATTGAGGGGCTCGTTGCATTATTCTTTCTCCAACATATCTTTTCTTGTGAGTAGTGTGATTAAAAAATTGGCATGATACCGGTCCTTCAGTGATTACTTAAGTAACTGCTTGCTTGATTTGTCGATCTGTAATTAGAGCGAGGATTTGATGTAGCAGTTGCATAAGTGAGAGATGAATAACTTATAGACAGCTTGGTACTAAAACATCTTTGCTTAGCTAAAACAATTTGATTAGATTGTTTTAGCAGGGCTTTGAGATAGATTGCATACTCATTGGTGACTCGGGGAACTTTCTTTCTTTTTCTTCTTTCTGGTATCTACTAGCTTGGTCATATACGTTTTAAGTGTGTAACAATAAGCATTGGAAAACATATTTGAAGCCCATTCAGCACTTTCTCTCTCTCTATCTCTCTCTCGCGTTTGCTCTTCACTCTGACCCTCTCAACTACCCATTCCACTTCCTTACTGTCTCTCTGTTTCTCAGAAACCCAAGTGAAGGTAGCCTATGTAAGTTCCCCCCTCTAATCTTCTCTGCTGTGGTTAACAATAGTTAGAAGTTTCACCCTCCTAGGTTTCAAGATTTAGGGTTTAAAGGCGATCTTATAAATTTCTGTTTAGGGCATCCACAATTCCTTGGATCGATTTGGGGCTGAAAGTGTTTTTCCCTTTCTTAGGCATATTTGATTGTGCTGGTTGGGTCTAAGACCAACTCCAGCAACATCCTTCGCATGGTGGAGGAATCAGGTCAAATTTTGTTGGATATTCGTTTTCTTCTTTCAGTCTCTTTTCATTATCTTATTGGTGGTTTCAATTATCGACTGTTTGGTATTTGTTATGGTGAAAGCAAGGGACTTCGTTTTGCAAAGATGCTTTGATTGGCTTAGAGAGAAAGAGCAGCTTAGAGCATAGATGAAAGGTAGGAAGGCACCAAGAAGGGATGCGTACTCGTTTGATTATAACAGTCAATTTCTGTACATGTGTTAGCATATGTGCTCTTGGTTTTTTCCTTCGTTTTGTTTTCTTTGTTTTTCCAGTTTTTCTTATGTCTTTCTCATCGGTTTCTCTTTCTTTTTCCTTTACAGAGAAGTGCAGAATCTCTGGACTTCAGGGAGGGCTTATTCATGTGAACGATTCCTAAATGTTTTCCCTACTTGGTATATATTTGCTACCTTACACCATTAACGTTACTCACTTTTCTAAACAGCCACCTAATTTCAAAATTAATTCTTAACAAAATATGTGTCCCTTACATAATTGTATATACTTTGACATTTGATCAGCCTCACTAAGATAGAAATTCCAATTCACTAATGAGGTTTTGTTTTGAGTATGTATAATTGTGCGTATATTGTGACCAGATCTATGTTAATTGACTAAACCTCTGTGTATCTTGCCAAAACTTAAGAAGTAATTAGAGAATTGTGTTTTTTTTTTTTTTTTTTTTTTTGTTGAGAGAAAGATGGTATTTCATTAAACTTAAAAGGAACATTACATGGTAAGAACTAGCATGTTAATGACGGTCTCGTTAAAACCATCCTAGGGAAAACAAAACCCCGGAGTAGGAAAGAGTACCACCCATGCTATTGACTAAAAAGAATAGTCAAACAACCTATATGAAATAGACATACATAAAACCCAACCACAAAACCCTTAAAACAACATCCCATCACTACGTATGTACAATCAAAGAAGTCCTCCTATGATATAGAAAAAGAATCATAGTTCTTCATACAGAGTCCAAAACGTACTATGGGTATTAGAACTGATATAGCTAATCACCCAACCGAAAAATCATTGAAACACATCACATCACTACGCAGGTTCTGTCAAAGAAAGACTTCTATGATCTAAAGAAAGCATCATAGTTTTTCGTACAGAGTAAAAAACGTAGATCCAGCCAAACACCAACCACCACCTCCAATTTTCTTGATTCAAAACTCCAGTTGACAAGCAAGGGAGACCAAGATTGGCCTTTTAGCCTGAAGAAATTTCCCAAGAAAGATCTTCATAGTAGGAACGTTCATCAATTGCCAAGCCCATGAACGTTCAATAGGAGAATTATCAGGGAGACCTTGGAGACCCCTCGAGGCTGGTCTTCTCTGCCTTGTCAACAAAATCCTCGATACAAAAACTATGCTTACCAAAAAAAGCCATGCCAATAACAATCAGATGCCCAACACCAATTTCCGCATGCTTCTGATTCTCGCTTGTTGCTGCATACTTATCACCCCCTTGAGCAGAAGAGGCAATAGTCATCTCTATAGTGTTAAGATGGAGATCCCTCAGCAAACTGTCTCTTTAGTCAGACTATTTATTTTGAACAACACCGACGCTTTATAATATTATGGATAAACAGTCAGTACTTTCCGAAACAAATTAATACTATATGACAGAAATTAGTCAGTATAGTCCGACGTACCAAACAAGCTTATAATATTTAATTGTATTTAATGCTTGTGATATAATGTTATGATGTTGTGCCGCTTGCTTCTTCTATCTTCCCTCTTTCTCCCTTAGCTTCTCTGTGTTGCTCCCTTTGTTCTCTTATGTAACTATCTCTCTCTCTCTCTCTCTCTCTCAAGATCTGGAGATTTGGTGTGTAAAACCACCTTGCCGTCTGTGTCTCGTATTGGGCTTGCCATCTTCGTCAATCGTCACCGTCACGAAAACAGATACCAAGCCGACCCAAACCGTTATTCGGTGAACTGAAAATGTCTGGCAGTGGTTTGGCATCGGTGCCGAAATTTCCTCCACCTAGGCTTTCAGTTTTAGCTCAAAACCAAACTCTGTTAGTGTTGAAAGTAAATGCTCTGTTTTTTGTCCCACATCGGAAAATCCCAGTTTTTCTATAAACAAAGCTTTTTGATGATTTTGTTAAGCGTTTTGACTTTAGAATGATTGCCGTATTGGGTTTCGTTACCAAACTACACCGAGCCCAGCCTTATTAAAGAGTAATCAAATTAGCATTTTTTCTATAAAAAAATTCATTTACAATGGTAAGCTTATTGGCAGCATAAGTACTATTTCCTGCTGATTTCAAAATACGAAATTTCAAATAGGCGGGAGAATGTCTCTATAAAACAGAGAACTTTTAGTTCGATATGAACAGACACGAACCAGCTCCTCTACAAGACATTTTTTCTTCTTGTTGGTCGGTCTTTATGAAAGATCTAATGAGGGACCTCCCTAAATTATAATTATGAGGAGTCTATGCTTCAATTTTTTTTACACAAGGTGTTTCAAAAAGTGGGTGACTTTCTTTGCATGCAAAAATATTGTACTTTTACCTACATTCCAGATGGTTTGATTGTTCTTTCTATAAATTCTTCAATGTTATTTTCTTTGTCTGAGGAGGGGGGTGATGTTAGATGACGATGCATGGAATTGTGGCCATGACATTGAATCAGTGAGCCAATCTTTTTCGCTATTTTCTTCCAAAATCTCTTCTTTTTCTTTGGGTTATCCCATCTTTCTCTCTCTATATCTACCCCCTATCTTGCACAATGAAAGAAAGCATATGCCTTTTCTTTTCTAGGGCAAGACAAGACTAGATGAGGACCAAGCATCAAATATGGAGTGACTTGGATATGTTTTTGTTGTCGACTTTTGAAAGTGTTCATTGGACTATTATCTTGAGTAGTCTAGATGAGAAGACCATCAATCTACAAAATGGAAGAGAGCAGATGAGAACCAGCTCCTCCAGCCTCCACAATGGAACGTGTGCCAAAGTTTTCCAGATGATCAAACCTTGAGGAATTAAGGGCTCATTTGGGAGTGCTTCTTCTTGAAGCGTTTATGTCAATAGCGCTTATGACATAAGCGCTTCTACTAAGAAGTAGTTGTCGTTTGGATGTCACATTTAAAAGTGTTTTTACATTATATAAAAGCGCTTTTGATATTTTGTTGAGTGTTTGGCTGAAACAGTAAAAACGCTTTTAAAAGTATTTTAAAAAATGTAAAGAATCTCAAAATATTATAATAAATATAGGAAATATAAATAATAATAATAAGAGGAAAAAAAGAAGAAGAAAGGAAAGGTATTTTGGCATTTTAAAAATTAAATATGGATATTTTCAGCATTTTAAAAGTTTCATCAAAGATAGCCAAGTGCTTCCCTTGTTTTTATCTTGCAGCGCTTTTAAGAAGAAGCACCTCTCAAGTGCTTCTTCCAAAACCACTCCAAGTGCTTTTAGATCTCACCCAAAGCGCTTTTGCAATTTTTGCCAAACACTATTTTTTTAAGACAGAAGCGCTTTCATCCATTTAGAAGCGCTTTTCGCTGATCCAAAAGCACTCCCAAACGAGCCCTAAATATAGTACAATAAGTTGATAACCAGCCCCACAAATTGTATTTCACAATTACAGATTATTAAATAAAAATCAATATTCAAAGTGCATATTAATTTCAAATTTTAAAAGTAATATATCGAAAGACATAGAAAGAATCTGAATCTACTTTCTTTGTCCCTGTATAGCAAATTTGTCTAATCATCGGAAAGAAAATTCTGAGTAGATAAAGATTGGTGCAGCATATCCCATTATGAACGAAGTTATCTTCTTTAGGTTTTTTTTTAAGTCACACAGAGATGCAATAAAAGTTATATTCCTCTCCAAAGCTGTGATCACAGAGTGGAATCACATTCTCTCTTTATTTGGGGCTTGGGGTTGGGTGGATAGGTTGGGGCGTAGGCAGATGCAGGGGCATGTGAGAATGTGAATGTGACAGTTCTAAATTGGAAAACTAACAAACCTTGAAAGGACTTACTGCTTATGAACGAAGTCATTTTCTCTCTTTTCATGGAAAATATATAACAGTATCAACGAAGTCACTTGTAATTTCCAAACAGCTCATTAAGTAGGACAGAGATTGGAGTGGAATGACATAACCACATGGTAACAACACAATGGACTCCATTGAATGGAAAATAATACCAAAACCCTTCTCCTAATCCTGAGAGTTATATAGAAAGATAACGAGGTCGTCTTTTATTATATATGAAAGCTTTATAGAAGGTATAGTAATTAATGGTTGTTCGACGAAGAACAAAAAAACATGGGTGTCCAATTTAGAAAGACTTAGACCTTGTTTGTTAGGGAGGACTAGACTAGACTAGCAAAATGCCTATATTTATGTGCAATCAAGGCATACATAATATGAATATTGTTGTCTAATTAAGTTGGTGTATGAAGAAGGACTATTCATAAGAAGTTGATGACTAAAACTTATCCCTTATAATCCCATCATTTTCAAGGGGATTAAGGGGGATAAGTTTTAGTCATCAACCTTTTATAGATAGTCCCCATTCTTCCTCCAAGTTCGGGAACATATCCATATTATGCCTTGAATGCACATGAAATGTAGGCATTTTTCTAGTCTAGTCTAGTCTAGTCTAGTCCTCCCTATCAAACAAGCCCTTAATACCTTGATGTATATATCCTTTTAGTCCACAATCTTTCTTAGACTATTGCGTACTTGTGTTAATTTACAAAGATGATTGCTGATTTCCTCACACTTTGAAGAATAATAATAATATTTAATAAATTTTTTTATACAAGCGATATTGAGAGAGGAGAGTTTTCTCACACACACGCTACTAAGGTACCATGTAGGTTCATAACTGGGACCACTACAAGTCAATGCTCTTTTTCACTCTGGAATTGTGAAGCAAAGTGTTATTGTGATTTTTTTTTACTATTTAAATTGCGATGTGTGAACTTTGAAGCTCTCAAATTGAATTTAAATGAGGTGTGATGTACAGAGCATAAGCCAACTAGAGATTCAACGAGAGGATAGTCATGGTGTAACCTCACATATCTCCTATGACTATGGCATTTGTTAAAGAATGTAACTCATGGTTAGCCTTTGCCTGTCATTTTTCTTATGAGAAAAAAATAATAATTTAACAGTGTAAATTTCAATCTAAATGTAATGTCCATGATTTATAAGTTTCTCTTGGTCAAAAAATATTTCGCTCTATTTATACTAAAATGAACAGCCAATGAATGTCGAACACGTGGGCTAAACCAGGGCCATGGAGTGCCTTCGGTACCCACCTTCGGTACAAGACCTACCGATCGAAACATTAGGGCAACCTCGCCCCCTTGGACGCGTGGCAGTCCCACAATTGATGTCCAGAGTCCCACATCGAAATTCTAAACAAGTTGCACGCCTCCCAAGGCCTATAAAGGAGGACAACCATCCCAGCTTGGAGGTAATCAATCAGAACTTACGGCATACTGCCTATTGATCTGTAGTTCCAACTTACTAAATCCGTACTTACTTAAGCATCGGAGAGCCTTCGGCCGGTACCACACCGGTGCCCTAGGACTTACCGTGCGTTTGCTATCTTACAGATCGCACACCCTACCGAGGACATCAGATACCGAAGAGACTAAATCACTAAGTTGCGCGGGAAAGTGCCGAACCATTTTTCTGCGTCAACACGCTCTCTCATGGAAATCCCTGCTCATGGTTAGGTTATATGTAACTGGTGGAGAATGCACAAAGGAGGCGATCTACAAATTAGTTAGCAGAAGTCAATTGCATGCATTCAGTTCAAATCATTGATTCCTAATTAAGCATCGCTGATTCACAGAAGTTTCAAATTTCTCACAGTAGTGCAGAAAAACAAGCACTGTTTATAATTTTCTTCATTGTTGTTGATAAGTTTGGTGATGAACAGCTCTTGAAAATAAATTGCAAGCCGTTTAATTTAGTCATTTTAGCACGGTTCTTGATTATAATACTTTATGATACTCTATTTGAATACGAGTATCCAACTCAAAATTGATTAGCAATGAGTGAGATTCACACTCTCAACAATCTTAAGTCTATTTTGCATGGAAGATCAATTAACGATGAGAGATAAATACTTCCTAAGGAACCAATGACCAAGAGTTCGCCCGTAAAGATGAGCAAGAGCTTCCATGGGAGAAAATTTGTTTTCAGCAATTCATGGAAATAGGAGAGAAAACATTAATGGACACGGACACGGGACCAAAACATCCCACCAACATTTCTCGCAATATGCTTTAAAGCCTCAAGGACCAAAATTTTATCTTTGTCTATCCCCGTACTTTAGTTGCTATAAGCCTGAAGCCTATATGTTTTAGATGCATTAAGATGAAAAGGTGCAAAACGGTTTGCATCTGTAGTCTGCATCCGTGTAGGGAATATATGTATATTGGAATCATTGATTTTGAATATGATGCATACAACAGTTTTACTGCATCGTTGACTTGAGATTATAAATTAGTTGCTTTTATAATATGCCTAGTTTAATTTCAACTGCACTCTATTTTTAAGTTGTTTCATACTGTGACTCTTGGATATGTCGTTATCAATTAAGAGTTGTCATGGCCTGTGTATATATTTGTGGCAGTTCGATGAGTTGGAACAAAATCTTGTATGTAACTTTTCAAACGAAAAGTTACTATGATAGTCACCATGAAGAATTGCAGACCAAACTAAGTGGTTTCTAGTTCCACTTTCATTATGGAGATTTGGATGCCTTCAAGGTACTGTTTTCTATCATAAATGGGTCTTAAGGCTATGAAGATGTCCACGGGTTACATAAAACCATATTTTGGGTTGAGTCGATGTTTGTTAGAAAATTTGATACTTTTTCGAAAGAAGTACGAAATTTTATTGTAAATTGAGTTACGAAGTAATACAATCTTGGCATAAAAGATCCAAGATGATATCCCGCGGCTCCGCTAACCAAACTACATCATTTGACATACTCAAAGCATAATGACCTAAACGATGTGCTACCCCATTACAAAGCTAGGGAGCATGGGAAAGTCTAGCATACTGAAAGTGGGAGAGAATTGTTGATGTTGGCTCACCTAAAGATGTGGAAGGAGTGAAGGAAACAAAAGGTCAAAAGAGATGTAGTCATTTTGACTGGGCTCTGCCTCCTGAACGCCTGTACTTCCCGACCAGACCAGGCACTCTAGCGCTTGCTTGAGCGGCAGAACTTAGACTCGAACTGACATAGGCACTCAAGCGGCACAGTGGCACTCAAGCAGGAGGCTTGAATCCAGCGTGTATCCCTGGCAAATCTAAACATATTTTCTTCTAGTTTTGGGTCCTTTAAGTTTTCTATTCCTTGTATAATTGTACTAAAGCCCTATAACATATAAATAGGCACTTTAGCATTATAGGTTATTGTAACATGAGAAAGCTAAGGCATCAAATTGGGTTTGAGCCAAGGGTGAGAGAAAAGAGAGCTAGGGTTTGTGAGAGATCAAAAGAGGTTCTTCATTGTAACCAAAGGGGTTCTTTCATGCTAGTGAATTTCTCGAGGATCACCAAAAGGACGTAGGCACAACGCTAAACCTTTATAAATTCTTGTGTTCATTGTGTGCGTGTTTACTTTTCGGTTTGTGTGTACTTGTCTTTGTATGGCTTGTGTGTGATAGTTGCGTAGTCCATCAACAACAAGGGCTTGGAGTGTTTTCGCACAACAATTGGTATTAGAGCCAAGTTGCAGCGAGTATAAATTATGCCCAAGTGCTCTTACCACTTTAAGAGTAGCGGTGTATTAAAGATGGCAAGCGACAAGGAAGCGATGAGAGAAAGCTCCAAACAAAGACACCACAACATATGTCAAGTACGAAGGTCGAGTTGAAGCCGTTCACTGGCAACGAGAACTTCACTCTTTGACAAAGGAGGATGAAGCACTTCCTTAAGCAGCAAGGTCTCAGCTTCATTTTGGCAGGCAAGGAAAAGAAGCTAGACACCATGACGGATGCCGAATGGGAAGACCAAGATGAGCTTGCTAGAGGATTTATTGAATAATGCCTCACTGACGGAGTGTTGTGTAATGTGATAGAAGATATTGCGAAGTAAACATGGGAGAAGCTTGAAGAGTTGTTTGCGTCAAGATCATTGTCCTACAAGTTCTTCTTAAAAGAGGAGCTCCACTCTCTAAAGATGGAGGAGGGCACAAACATTATGGAGCATGCCAGTGCCTTTAACAGGTGTATTGCGGACTTGCAAAGAGTGTATGAGGTTTATAAGTCAGAAGACAAGGCTGTGATGTTGTTGACATCCTTGCCTCCATTTTATAAGCTCTTCCGCATGACGCATATGTTCAGCAACAGAACTTTCAATTATGAAGTGGTCATGCAAGACATACTGATACGTGACAGGATGCTTCAACATTCCTGAGATAGCTCTCAAGGTGTAGGTCTCGTGGCAAGGACTGGAAGGCGGGGTTGTTCAAGCAAGCTCAGAGGCAAGTCGAGCAATGGTGGGAATTTTAGATTCAAGGAAGATGAAGTAGTGTAGGTCTAAGGACTATTGGAAGCAAAATTGTCTGGTATGAAAGGAGAAGCGAAACAAGATGAAGGATGCCAAAAGTTCAGGCGCAACAAACGTGTCAACACTGATGACAAACTTTTGATGGTTACAGATGAGAAGCGTAACGGGGAAGTCTTGGCAAATTCTTTGGGTAGGAGTTTTATTTCAGTTTGGGTTCTAGATTCCTGTTGTTCGATTCATGTGTGTTCAAATAGGAAGGAGTTTGATACATATGAAGAAAGGGAAGGTAGCAACATTTCGTTGGGAGACAAAACAAGTTGTTAAGTTTTGGACGTGGGAACAGTAAAGATCAAGATGCATGATTGTGTTGTTAGGAGCCTTAGTGAGGTGAGACATGTACCGGAACTAAGATGAAATCTAATTTCGCGCAGCGCTCTAGATAGAGAAGGGTATTTGTACAAGGCCAAAGAAGAGAAGCTCTTAGTCAAGAGTGTTGAAATATAAGTGTCTTAGCTGAAATGATTTTGTACTTAGTTTAATTTTTAGTATTTCAAATGTAAGCCATTGGATTACATTCCAATGGACAGCTAAGATGAAGTCTTAGAGTTAAGAGTCAACTTATGCCACTTGTCACTATCTTGTAGGGTAGTTGATTGAATGGTTAGATTTGGATGATGTAATGGGAATATTCTATTCCCAAAGGTTAAGTGTGCACAGTGATTGTGTGTCCGTTCAATGAAGAAATAGCTCATCTTTGTTTCTGCTTCAAAGCTCTCTCTCACTCTGCAAATCTCTCTGAAGAACTTTACTCATTCAAAATCATTTGTAGAATGCAAGTTATATTTCAGATCACAGTCTGAATTCTAACAGGACTGTCCATAAGATCATTCACTCTTAAATCTTCGAAAGAATCATGTGGGGGAGGGGTGAACACACTGAAAGTTTTGGGCCTTGGAATCCACCGATCCCGCCACACTGAAATTGACGCGCCATTACCCAACTGCCAACGGGACCCGTGCTCAAACACTGTTCGAGCTTTAAAGATACTGCTCCGGCAATAAGAAGGATTTGAGCCCAATGAAGCCTTCTAGAAATCAACACCCGTATAGTACTTGGCTTAAAACAAACGAGCTACCAACGAATCTGGTTTCATAAGCAAATTCCATGCCTCTTTTTGGCTGGCAGAATTTATTCCAGGAAAGCCAATGAATTTTGCGTTTTTCTCCATCACCACTCCGCCAAAATTTAGCAATAATACTATTTAGCTCATCACCTAAAGTTTTAGGTAAAAAAAAATAGTTCATAGTGTAAATTGGTAGAGCTTGTGCTACAACCTTCACTAGAATTTCTGTACCAGCTCAACTTAAAAGCTTGCCTCTCCAACCCACCAGTTTCTTCCATAATTTTTCTTTTGAAGAGCCAAAGATAAGTTTCTTAGAGCTACCAACAAAGATAGGCAAGCCCAGGTACTTGTCATGAACGGCAACGCATTCCACTCCAAACAAATCTGTAAACTCCTTTCTTGATGCCTCTTCCACATTCCTGCTAAAAACAACGCTGCTCTTGTGGAGATTTATCACCTGCCCAGATGCCAACTCATAGGTTTTAAGAATTTTCAAGACTGTAGCACTCTTCCCGTGAGGCACTTGCAAAACTAAACTATCATCCGCAAATAAAAGATGATGAATGCTAGGCGCATTAACACAAATTCTCACTCCATGTAATTGTCCCTGGAGAGAGGTTGGATTTATTATGATCTTTGTTATTTATACCTCACCTTAAACTCTACCCAAATTTATCACTCAATAAAATCCTTCCAAATATATGACTTTTTAAATACACCTAGATTTTATTGAACTTTTTTATAATCCTAATTGAATACACCCATATTTGTATAGACTTTTTAAAAATTCATACAAGTCTGAATTGAATACACCCAGACTTGTAGAAACTCTTTTAAAGTTCGTATAAATCCAAATTGAACCTGGATTTTTTTAAATCTTTTAAACGCTCTAGAATCCTAATTGAATGCACACCCCAAACTCATCTTAACTTAGATGGAGGGAGAATCAAACTTGAGTGTAAGAAAGCAAACACACTGCATCCTAACCTACATATGCCATGAACATGTAGATTGAGCGAAACTCTTGTTAACCAAAACTAAAATTAAAAATTTATTCAAGATGTATAGGAAAATTAAGACATATCATCAGCCACACATAAATACTATTCAGTTTAGAAACTCAAAAGCAATGGAAGGCTCTCGGCCCTTCCATCAGTAAGAACATTGCTGTATTGAATAAGAAGTCTATAATAAACGCACCGAGAGGACAAACCAAAGTTTACAATATCCAAAATCATTACAGGGGAATTAAAATGAGTAACAAATCGATTGTCCATAGATTGAGTTTTCTAATAGAGTAGAACATAAAAATGTGCGAAGCTTTTCAAAAGTAGTAAAACTAAAAGAGAATATTGGATGGATGCGAGGCACAACCACAGTAAGAATTTACAGGATTATTACTGGAACCGAGTATATGTATTTTTCTTCCATGTACACCTCAGAAACTTGAACCGTTGAATACAACTAGCAGGAGTTAAAATTTATAATCAATGATAATTTCAAAATCCCCAGGCGTAAAGAATACAAAGATGATATGACACACTGTAAGAACAACTTGACAGGCTTGCCAAAAGAAATCTCAGCAATTCACTCCAAATGCAGCAAAACAAAGAATCTGCAGGATTCCTCCTAGAACATTGCAAAGTGTTCGATATTTTACTTCAATATACACCAAAAAGATTTGAACCCCTAACCACTGGAACCCCCTTTCATATAGATTGACTTCGATTTTCTCGAAAGTCATTGTTCCTTACCGCAGTAGAAACTATAACAAGAAGCGAAGGAGTCAAGATCTGCAGGAAGGTAGCGTGACGCCTCCACAACAAACAGCAATTATAATGTACAGAAGCACAACAATCAAGCATGTCAACAGGGCCCTGTCACAATTAGACAACCTTCAGTGCACTGAACTGGAAATGGGAACACTAATCAAACAAGTCATGGAAATATGAAATATATCATGTAGCTTTTTCTTTACAACATTTGGCAAGCACAGGGGCCATAACAGAGTAAGTAATATCTTTTAGTTTTTTAAGCACCTAGTGATTTTCGGAGTTGGATATGTGATCAACATATTTGATCCTGTTGTGAATTCACACATTTTACTCCTTACCACTTAATTAAGAATTATTAAATTAATCAAATTGAAACCAAAAAAAAAAAAAAAAAAAAAAAAAAAAAAAAAAAAAAAAAAAAAAAAATTGCAGTGGCCACAACTTGATGGTTTTGGAGTTAAAGAAAACCAAAATGTCATTTTCAGATGGCACTGGGCATAACGGACTACAGCTTCATAATAAACTTAAGAGCATCACATTGTCACTTGTGAAATTAAAACTCATATGCATGAGGTGATAAGGAGGACGTGTAACCTAAGAATGTGTCTTTTTCGATAAACTAAGAAAATCCCTAGTCACCATTAGGAAAAAAAAAAGTTTGTTATCTTAAGAAAGATAAGACCGGAAAAATAAAATTCAGCAAGATGGTTTGAATTCACTTGAATTGGAAACTATGTTTGGTCACTGAAATCAGGGATGGAATGGATTTGAGATTCCATGGAAATTGTGAGGAGTTGGTTAGACAAAGTAATAAGAAATCGAATTTCATTCCAAATCCCCTCAAAGTTTGGGGAGAGCCATTCCTTCCCTGAGTGGGATAAGAAAGTTCCTTAAAACAAAACCAAAGGTTGCTGGACAGTTCCTACACACTTGAAACACCACTCTTCTCACACCTCCACCTTGCCTACAACTTTTCCCAATCAGTTTGTTGTTGATTCTCCACTACTGAAATTGTTTCTAGCTTCAACATCACTTGGGTCCACAGTCCACTCCCTTCAAATCTGCTTCCCATCTTCAAATCCATCCCCTAACACCTCAGTTTCAAAGCCTTACACTTTTTCAAAAAATTTCCAATCAACATAATTAAAGTTATGGCCCCAACAAAGGTAGGAGTTTTCTTTTCCTTTCCAGAAAAACAAAGGTCGGAGTTTTTTGCTGTCATGGTTATTGATTTCAGGCTTGTGATTGCAAATGTATATTAGTATTAGGGGCCTAACTCCCATGCAATTAGCTTTCCTGTTTTCCCTTCACAAATTTTCACCTCTGTACTTTATTTCTCAATGAAATATTCTTCTAACCTTTATTTGGTCTGAGGAAAAGACTTCATCAAAGATAAATTTTATGTGAATTTTCTTAACTTATTGTTGAATTCGAACCGCCCTTTTTCTTCTTTTTTTTTTGGGTGGATAGGATTTTAAGTTCTGGGTCATTGCTGTTGCCTTCAGTGTATTCAATTTCTTACCTTTTCTGTGTTCAAATTTGGGTTTGATCATTAATAAATTTTCTCATGGGGAAATTATCACTTTTGTTTAATAAATTCTCACTCCACAGATGAAACATTCCCATCACCAGGTCTTTCTCTTTAACTATGTTTGTTTACCTTTTCCCGGCCTTGAAATGGTGAGCTTATTCAAGGTACCATTAATATTAATCATTTCCTATTATTTTCAAAACTTGAACATATTCCTAAAGATATAAGTCTACGTCATTTGTGTAAATCAAAATAACTTACAAGAGCTTGGCATTTTTCATCCACAGAGCTCGACGAAGCCGTTTGGACTGCTTCTTGAAGTGAAATGCACTATCTTGCATAGTTGCAGTTTTGTCAACAAGAAGCTCAATTCGGTCACCCCTCTCCAATATCTTTTCTATGTTGTCCACCATTATAGTTCTTATCTAGACATACCAAAATTTAAGTGACTGTTAGAACAAACCAAACACAGAACAAGAAATGCATTGAAGGATGAAACACAAACCTAAAAGATAGAAGAAAAAACAAAGGGGCAGCAAAATCAGAAATATATTGAAAAGGGAAAACAAAAGGTTTATAAAGCCTACGAAATACCATATCACTTGAATGCTACAAAGCATATAACTACTTTTATATAAAATATCGTGCATTGAGACTGCAAACTAGCTGTGAAAGTTCAATAAACAAATGAATGTGTCTAGAAATCTTCGAATGGACAACACCAATTGACTTGCTTTCTAAATGACAGATGTGTTTTCCTCAAATACTTGTTTAAGCAACAGGCAAAAATGACATGTAGCAAGTGAAGCTGCCTTATTCCCAGACAAAAATAATTAGCAAATAGTAGAACAAACAAGTTAGAAAGACCAAATGACAATCAAAATTCCAGAGAAGCACATAAGACTTGCCTCACCAACTTCGCCTCTCACACGGTTGAGAGTATCAGCGCTAGGATTGCTGGAGAAAAACTCCATCTGCTGATGCAAAACCCTCGAAAACTCATCATTCATTGCATAAGCAGGAGCATAAGGAGCCACTCTGCCATAATTTTTCATAAATCTCATATGAATATCCTCCAAGTATGAAAAGGGGATTCTCCCTGCATCAAAACAAATACACCAATATACTCAAAGACCATAAGATCCAGAAAAAGAAAGCACCAAAATTGAATTCCCAAAGAGAAATTGAAGAACACAATTGAAGAAAATACGTTACGCACTGCCGAAGGTGTCGTTGGCCATGCAAAGAAAAGTGAGGCCATCGGATTTGAGTATGTGGAAGATGTACCGATCCTGAGAGAAGCAAACCCTAGAATCGGCCTCCGATGGAAGCTTTTCCAAGATGCGCCGAGCCACTGCCCCTGTGTTCCCCGTGACCGCGCTGAACTCGGCCAACACGATTGTTCCTCGAGCCACCACCGCGTAGAGAATCGCCATCTCTGCTTCGGATCTTCGGGGCTTAGGGTTTGGGGCTCTGAAAGCTCTCTACTTCGATCGCGATCGAAGTCTCATGGAGCTGTTTGAATTCTGATTTACTGCTTATTTTATATTTATCTTTTTTTAAATAAATAAAAAAAATTATGTTTTGTTGTTTTGTTAATGTTATTGGAAGAGGAAAGGGAAGTTGAAGTTGAAAGTGAAGGCGGGGAAGGTGAAGAAATTTGTTGTCACCGGTGAGTCCACGGGGCGTTAAGGTGTAGTGTTTGATAAACTAACAGCGGATCGCACAAAGAGTCCGTGGTACTTTCTCAGGATCGGAAGTAGGAATGGCTGTTGAATTATAAATTCCTGCTGGTTTAAGTTTTATTTTACGGATGTAATAAGTTGGATGAAACTTATATGACTCAGATTTAAGACAAGTGTCCAGCTTACATTGCTGGATCAATTGTAAGGCTGAGATCACATTCTCAGCATTGTAAAAGGAATGTTCCGTTAGAAATGAGAGCACTGTGCACTGCCATGTTTTGTGCATAGCAACGAACCTTTGAGCATTACTGTGTAGCCATTCTTTCTCTGCATTTTTCTATTTTCTTCAATTCATCTGGTTTTGTGTGAGCTGATGCATTGTGTGTGCAAGTTCTTATTGAAATCTCAACATGGTATCAAGAGCCTGGTTACGACTTTGTATCTAGGCGTCGTGAAATCAAAATCAGAGTTGAGGAAATCCAAAGCTGATAACCTCTATCTCGTGGATTTGGTCTCAGATGGCTGGATCTGGAATGGGTGAGCTTCGTGCTCCCATTTTCAATGACAACAATTATGATTCTGGAGAATCAAGATGTGTACGATTTTCAAATCGCACAAACTCTGGGATATGGTGGAACAAGGGTTTGAGAATCATGTGAAGAAAGAAGACGGTGGTGTTTTGAGTGCAGCTCAAAAGCTTGCATTTGAGGAAAATGTACCAAAGGATGCTAAGGCGTTGGGTCTGATTCAAAGTGCAATCTCTGATGAAATTTTTCCCAGAATCGCTCTACAAGAATCTGCCAAAGCAGCTTGGGAGATTTTGCAAAAGGAATTTGGAGGAGATAAGAAGGTACGATCTATAAAATTGCAAGCACTTAGAAGGGAATTTGAATACTCGTATGCAAGATAATGAGTCTCTATCTGGGTATATAACCAAATTGCTTGAAATGAAGTTTTATGGAGAGGATATTTCTGATCAAAGAATCGTACAGAAACTTTTGATTAGTTTATCTAGAGAATATGATTCTATTGCAGAGGTGATAGAGGAGACTAAAGACACAGAGACTATAAGAGTTCAGGAGGTTATTGGCTATTTGAAATCCCATGAACAACGGTTGCAAAGGCACACTGAGAAACTGACAGTAAAGGCTTTCTCTAGCCTAAGTGTGAACCCTAGAGAGCATTCAAATGCTGCACAAGATGGGAGTTCTAAGTCCAAAAAGAATTGGAAATCATAAAACAAGAAGAAATGGGAGGGGAAGTCTGGAAATACTTTCAAAAAGGAAAATCATAATGAAGGAGCTAAGGGTCCTTGCAAAATCTGTGATAAATTGCATTATGGTGTTTGTTGGTTCAAAGGCAAACCTAAATGCTATAAGTGTGAAAGGTTTGGTCACTTGGCAAAGGATTGCAGTGGGAAAACACCTCAAGCAACTCATTATGCAAAACACATAGAGGAAGAAGGGACAATGTTCTATGCTTGTCATGATGCCTCTGTAATCAAGAACAGTAGTGTGTGGTATGTGGATAGTGCTTGTAGCAACCATATGACCTCACATGAATCTCTGCTCATTGATATAGACACCAATGTCACTGCAAAAGTGAAGATGGGAACTGGAGATCTTGTTCAAGCCACTAGTAAAGGCACTCTAGTGATTGAAACGAAATCTGGACCAAGGCATATAAAGGAAGTCATGCTTGTACCAGGGTTGGATGAGAATCTGCTTAGTGTTGGACAGATGATTGAGCATGGATATTTCTTGCTCTTTGGTGATTCTATAGTGGGGATATATGATGACAAGTCACTGAAACACCTTGTGACTAAGGTTCCAATGACTGGAAACATATGTTTTCCTCTGTCCCTTCAATATGCAAATGCGGTAGCTATGAAGGCAACAATTAAAGAAACTACATGGTGTTGGCATAGAAGATATGGTCATCTAAATCTTCCTAACTTGAGAATGTTACAACAGAAAGAATTGGTGTATGGACTGCCGGAAATTGGTGACTTAGAGAAGGTGTGTCAAGGTTGTGCAATGGGGAAATCACACAGAGAGGCATTCGATAAAGAGAAGGCATGGAGAGCAAGCATGCCACTAGAGCTCATACACTCAGATATGTGTGGACCAATGCAATCCACTACCATTTGAGGTAACAAGTACTTCTTAACCTTTATTGATGACTGCACCAGAATGTGCTGGGTATATTTCATGCAATTCAAGTATGAGGTATTTAATATCTTCAAGATATTCAAAGCTATGGTAGAACTGCAAAGTGGCTATAAGATTAAGAAGCTTAGAAGTGACAGGGGTGGGGAGTACACCTCAACTGAATTTATGAAATTTTGTGAGGATGTTGGAATGGAAAGACAGCTAACTGTAGCCTACTCACCTCAGCAAAATGGGATAGTTGAAAGGAAAAATAGAACTATAGTGGAAATGAGTAAAGCAATGATGCATGAGAAGAAGTTGCCTTATAAGTTTTGGGGAGAGGCAGTAAACACAGCTGTTTACATTCAAAACCGATGTCCAACTAGAGCTTTAAATTATTCAACTCCATTTGAATCATTTAGTGAGAAAAGCCTGGAATTAAACATCTGAGGGTATTTGGTTCTGTTTGCTACTGTCATGTACGTAATCAATTGAGGTCCAAATTGGATGACTCAGCAACTAAATGTATTTTTGTTGGTTATGGTAAGTGTGAGAAGGGATATAGGGTCTACAACTTACAAACTAACAAGATTGTTGTTTCTAGGAGTGTAATCTTTGATGAAGATTCTCTGTGGGATTGGGAAAATCAAAGTGTGCAGCATATCTCAACTCCCATGAGTCTTGAAGATGGTACAAGAGACACTGCCATGGAGAGTGAACTTTCAGACTCATCTCCACAGGAAACTCAGTTTGAGAACTCAAGTTCTTCTATATCTGAAGTAGAGAATGTCACACAGAAAACTCCTATGAAACTTAGAGACATTGCTAAGATTTATGCAAGATGTAACATGAGTGTTATTAAACCAGAGAATTATGAAGAAGCTTCAAAAGATACTGCTTGGAAGAAAGCAATGGAGGCTGAAATGGAGATAATTAAGAAGAATGAAACATGGGAATTGGTTAACAGACCAATGGAAAAACCAGTAATTGGTGTCAAATGGGTTTATAAAACCAAGTTGAACCTTGATGGTTCAATACAGAAGCATAAAGCTAGGTTGGTTGTCAAGGGCTATGCACAAAAGCATGGTATTGACTTTAATGAAACTTTCGCTCTTATAGCCAGATTAGACACCATTAGGACTCTTATTGCATTGGCAGCTCAAAAAGGATGGAAGCTGTACCAATTTGGATGTCAAGTCTGCTTTTCTGAATGGAGTTCTTAAGGAAGAAGTGTATGTTGACCAGCCAGATGGGTTTGTGATTGAGCATTCTGAAGACAAAGTGTATAAACTAAAAAAAGCCCTGTACAGTCTAAAACAAGCGCCAAGGGCATGGTATGAGGAAAGTAACTCTTATCTCATTGATTGTGGATATGTAAAAAGCTCTAGTCAAGCAACTCTCTATTGCAAGACAAAGGAAAACTCTGGAACACTCATTGTATCGATTTATGTTGATGATATAGTGTATACACGAAGCAGTGAAGAATTGATTGCATATTTTAAGTCTGAGATGATGAGAAGGTATGAAATGATTGACTTAGGTGTATCATTTTCTTGGCATGGCTGTGATTCAAACTGAAAAGAGTATTTGTATAAGCCAAAAGAAGTATGCATTGACTTTGTTGAGCAAGTTTGGTTTAAAACAATGTAAACCTGTTAGTACTCCTCTGGTGGCAAGTGAGAAATTATGCAAAGCTGATGGAAGTGATCCTGCATATGAGAATGAATATAGGTAGATTGTGGGAAGTTTGTTGTAGTTAATAGCTACAAGGCCTAACATAATGTTTGCAGCTAGCTTATTAGCTAGATTCATGCATTGTCTTACAAAGAAACACTATGGAATAGCTAAGAGGGTGTTGAGGTATATCCAAGGCACAATTGATTATGTATTGAATACCAGAAGGGAAAAGAAGTTGTATTAATTGGATACTGTGACAGTGACTAGAGTGGGAGTCAAGATGACATGAATAACACTTCTGGATATGCTTTCTCATTTGGAAGTGAAGTGTTCTCTTGGGCATCTGTCAAGCAACACAGTGTTGCTCTCTTCACAGCTGAAGCTGAATATGTTAGTACAAGTGAAGCTACTACTCAAGCTATATGGTTGAGGTTTGTACTTGAAGACTTTGGAGAATTGCAGACAGAGGCAACTCCATTAATGGTAGATAACACATCTGCCATTGCAATGACAAGGAATCCAGTTTTCCATCAAAAGACCAAACACATTAACCGCAGATACCATTTCATTCGAGATGCTTTGCAAGAAGGTGTGGTGGATCTAAGATACTGCAAGTCTGAAGAGCAAGCAGCTGACATATTCACTAAAGCTTTGTCTAAGGATCGATTCAATTACTTAAGAGGTCTGCTTGGTGTTAAACCAGTCAACAATTTAGAAAGGAATGTTGAATTATAAATTCCTGCTGGTTTAAGTTTTATTTTATAGATGTAATATTTTGGTTGGATGAAACTTATATGACTCAGATTTAAGACAAGTGTCCATCTTACATTGCTGGATCAATTGTAAGGCTGAGATCACATTCTCAACATTGTAAAAGGAATGTTCCGTTAGAAATGAGAGCACTGTGCACTGCCATGTTTTGTGCATAGCAACAAACCTTTGAGCATTACTATGTAGCCATTCTTTCTTTGCATTTTTCTATTTTCTTCAATTCATCTGGTTTTGTGTGAGCTGATGCATTGTGTGTGCAAGTTCTAACTGAAATCTCAACAATGGCAACATGCCGGTTTGGGGATAGGTACGGCAATATCATCTCCGTCACTGCTCCCCATCCCCGCACCCATCTCTGCCCAATCCCTGGTAAGAAATTTCAAGGAATTCTCGTCCTCGTCCGCATAAAGAGGTTGTCTCCCAAACTCACCCCAAATTCCCGATTTTGATTCATTAAAAACATACTACACTCAATTTTGACCAAACAAATCAACTCAATTACATTCAATTAAATCATAAAATTCAACTTAACTACTCAAAATCATCTCAACAGTTTGACAAACTACTAGAAATCATATTATCCACAATCAAAACTACATATTTTGTCACAACAATTTCTTATTCATTAACCGCTAAAATTAACCACACAAAAATACATTAAAAAAAAAATAAAAAGAAAAAAAAAAAAAAAAAAAAAAAAAGGTAGCACTCTAGCACCAGCACTGTAGCTTCATCAAATAGTATGGGAGGAAGTTCAAATAACGAATCAGGAAAAGTACATAAATAAATAAAAACAATTTCCATATGTTTTTTGGTCAACCAAGAAAATCATGAATTGTTTCTTATATGGTTTATTGAAATATATATTCTATATTCGATATTTATTATTTAAAAATATATATACATATCACTAATCGGGCCGAGTTTGGGGGTCGGAATAACAATATCATCCCCGACCCATCTCCAACTGGGGATTTTTATAATTCAGGGATTCCTGTACCAGCCCCCGATTTTCCCCTAAATCTTCCCCCTTACCCAACTTGGCGGGATTTTTGCTATCACTAATTGGAAGGAGGACGGTCACGTCAAACTTTAGATTATGATAAATTCACATAAATGACACCTAACTTTTCTGGTTTTGTGAAATTACAACCTAAACTCATATTATTTACAAGTTACAACTAATCAATCAAACTTTACACATTGTTACAATTTGGCACTTTTGGCCACTTTTTTCGTTAAATTATGGCCTGTCACAAGACAACGTACTCTTTTTCAAGGGCATTCTCATTATTTATCTCAATTAGGCATTCTCGTCACTGCATTTGTAGGGTATTATGCATGTTAACGAAGCAAGATGTTTCAGGTACTGTATTCATTGAAAATAATGAGAATGCCCTTGAAAAAGGTCCCACATGAAGTTTGAATGCCAAATAACGACAATGTCATGAAGTCGGAGTGATTGATTATTGGTATACGAAATTAGGAATTTAGTGAAAAACCCAAAAGAAGCAGCAAGCTCTCAAAAACACCCAAAATCTTTTCAACATGACGAAAAAGCCCATTATCTTTAGCATCAAACACATGCAAGTCCTAGAGCTCTTTCCTCCACCAAAAACTACCATAAGCATGTGTATAGAGTAGGCCTACATGTGAAGATTTTGTCTTCAAGTAATCAAACCATGTGAAGACTTTGTCACTTTGTCTATGTCCAACAATTATTACTGCGCAACGATAGTGCCAGAAATAATGATTTTGTTTCTTTGTACATATTTTTTAGTGCATTTTGTCTTAAAATGCATGAGAATTGTTTGTTTGCTATTAGTTGACAGGTGAAGTATGTAAGAGAGTTCATAGAGATAAAGAGGCTCCTCTTCTCATCATTAGTCATCCTTAGTAGAGTCGGTAAATAAGTGTATATAGTTTTGTAACTCCGAAGAGAGAAGTACAATACCAAAGAAGAAAACATCTCAATACTTTCTCTTTCAGTTTTCAATCAATAAACTTCATTTGTTCATATACTTTCTCTTATTCTCTTATTATACTCTCTTACTCCAATCACTGTTAATACCGTCGACCACCGTTAATTCCCAATCATAACAGTTCCAGCAACAAAAGCAATTAAACAAATCTTTTTCTCTTTTATTTTTGATTTTATTAGCAGACTTCTTATCCAAAACAGGAAAACACTTTTCATAATTATATTATTATTATCTTGCTAAACTGACTATTAATACTTTGTTTGAGCATTTGGTCATATTTAATATTTGCCATAACAATAACTGGATGTCTGTCAGGGAACCTCTGAGTTCTGCTCCATGACCCTTTTAAGTTGATGTCTTTGCAGTTCCATGTTCTAAGTATTGTGTCTGGTTGTTATTTTGGCCATTAGAAACCTTGATTGAGACCCGTCAAAATAATGGTATCAGAGCTTTAGTTTAGCACCTTAATAATATGATTATACCAATAAAGTACCTTGAGGACAGAAGTCAATCAACAGAACTGATAAAAAACCAACGTTTTATAACTTGTTAAAATTTTTGTTAATTACTAATCACTAGTTGAGAACATGGAACCATTTGCATGTTTAGCCCTTGGTGGACACCTATTAGAATAAAAGAAAAAGATAAACTTAGATAAATTTTAATTATATGATAGAGTACCTTAATCTAAAAATCAGTGAACAACGAAAAAGAAAATTAACGTTAGATAATAATACATTAATTTGTTATTTTTCACAAAAAGAACACAAACATCTATTACACAGCAGTAACAGTCCCTTAGAAAATAGTATTATTGAGCTTTTAATTAGTCAAGCAGAAAAGTGTAAAATTTGAACGTAACAAACATAATAGAATAATTCAACAGTTATTAAAATATTTTCAAAAAAATTCCCTAAGAACAATTAGACAAGACTTAGATTATATAACATCTCAATTAGAAGATAATAATAAGAATATTCAAAGATTTCCTAGTAAGAACGAAATCAAAGACCTATTAGATCTTATAGATAGCAAGCCAAAACAAATAGAACTCCGATCATTAGAAATTATTAAGCAATTAAAAATAAAAGTGCAAAAAATACAATTAGTACAAAAAAAACATTAACTGAACAAGTAGAAAAATACATAATAAAATATATAGACTTTTAGTTCAATGACATATACTAAAATTAATAATAAATATATCAAAGCATTGGAAGAAGTGGGTAAACAGATAACGAACCAGTAGACCTTACAGAATTTACATATGTAGTAAGTAGTAATATCCCTAAAAGACAAAATAATTTAATTATCAAATTAATTTTAAATTTAGCTGAAAAAGTAGATCAATTAGAAGAACAAATAACATAAATCAATCAAGTAGTGCACAATGCTACATCCACACTACCCAAAGAATTAATTGATAAATTAGAAAATTTTACCTTAAGAAATAATCCTCGAAAAAGAAAAAAGTAGAATAAATCCATTTGATAATAGTAAATGGAACTCTTTAGGAGAAAAGGAAAATAAATAGTTAGAACAGAAGATACATACCTTAGTGAACAAGAAGCACAAGAATTTCTCTCTTCTCTCTCTCTTTTCTTTTTGTTATCATTTTCTCCTTTCCTATTCTTCCACTTTCTTTCCTTCCGTCTTCTCTCTGTTTTTGGTTTCATTATTTTATGCTTTTCTCTTACTTTTTGGAACTGCTACGAATTCGGCTTCTCAGTGCTGGGTTTGTGCATGGCTTGGGGTGGCGAAGAGAGATGAATTTGCTGGTGGCTTGGGATTCTCGATACTGGGTCTGTGCGTGGCTTGAGGGTGGCGGTCATAAGGGAGAAGAAATCCGGGGGGGAGCGTCGGGCGTTAGGTTCTGCCACAGTCCGTCGATTGGGTATGTGGTGGTGGGGTTTTGATTCAAGCCATAAGAAAATCCAACCAGACTCGCATGTTCAAAATAAGACGCTCGCTATCTTGCGACACCCAATTTCAGGCTCTCTATATTAGACACGCGAATCCTTATTTTTTTTAACTATTGGACTATGGAGTCTCATTTAAGTTAATCCCTTCCCTTGCCAAACATGGGTTTCAAGTGTTATTTAATATAGTCTAGTCCAGTCATGCATACCAAACATGGCCTAAATATGTTAATTTAGGATGGCCTCAAAAATGAAATCAATGTAAGAAAAATAGTGGTAGAAAAATATATACACTAAGAGCATCCACAGTGGAGGGGTGTATTTTCGCGGGGGAGAGGGTAAAGCCACTTTTACATCCTCTTTACACCTCCAGGGGGTGTAAATACGTTTTTTTTGCTCCAATGGGAAACAATGTAAATCCAAATCTGCATATTCAATTTGTTCGTGATAATTCTTTTTTTGTGTGTGTGTTTTTTTTTGTATGTTTTAACTTTTTAAAATTAATTTTGTGCGTGTTAGATTTATTTTATTTTTCCAAATAAATGGACCTAAAAAAATTTAAATTTGGAGAACATATGATTTTACCTACAAACTAACATAAAAATATCTATGTAGAAATCTGGGCCATTGGAAGTGCAATGCAAATTACATGAAATCTAGGCCTTCTATTTTGAATTCCAATCCTTCTCTTTCCATTTTTCTCTTGTGGGTCCCGCCTGCAAAGGATGTAAAAAAGATGCAAATGTGCATCTAATTTTACATCTCCATGGTGGGGGTGTATTTTTACAACCATTTACATCCTCCCATTGGAGATGATTCCGGCGACAAAGGGTGTATATTTAACATACATCCTCTTATATACCTTCCCATTGTGGATGCTCTAAGACAATAATTTATTGTAAAACTTGTTATAATAATAGTCCAATGGAAATAAATACAGTTGAAATAATAGATAATAATAATCAAAAGAATCATAGCCCTAGTATAGAGAAACAAAAGATTAGTTCTTTAATAACAATTAATTGTGAGTTAGAATTGTCAAAAGAAAATAAAATTCAAACAA